ATTCAAAATTGTACAAATGGTGGGGCTGACCCCCCAGGGGGCTGAAGGTGGGCCAAAAGGGGACAATTTTGCTATATTGCTATAAACGACTTCTTCTATAGAACTATGCCATGGATATCGATCATATTTGGTCGGAAGCATTCATGGGAGGCAGGGATTCAAAATTGAACAAATGGTGGGGCTGATCCCCGGGCTAAGGGTTGGGGCCAATTTTTTTTTTATTACTTAAATGGTTGAGATCCCCACCATATAACCATATATACAATTGCTGACTATAAAGAGAAGAATGCACATTTGCTTCCAGGATGGCCCTTAAGGGTCTGGCCCAACCCTTGGATACATAGTCCCTGGGCCATAACTTTAAAACGGTTGAGATCCCCACCCCAAAACTATATATACAAATGCTGGGCATAAGGAGACGAATGCAGTCATGATATCAGAATAGACCCTGGGGTCTGACCGAACCCCTAGGAACCTAGTTTCTTAGTCACAGCTTGGAAACAGTTGAGAGCCCCACCCTATAACCATATATACAATTGCTGAGTATAAAGAGATGAATGCACATATGCTTCCAGGATGGCCTTGGGGACTGCCCCACCCTTGGAGACTTAACCCCTGGGTTATAACTTCGAAATGGTTAAAATCCCCACCCCAAAACTATATATACAATTGTTGGGCATAAAGAGACGAATGCAGTCATGATATTAGCATTGACCCCGGGGTCTGCCCCACCCTTGCAGACTTAACCCCTGGGTCATAACTTTGAAACAGTTGAGGGCAAAAAGAGACAAATGCAGTCATGATATTAGAATTGATCCTAGGGTCTGGCTACAACCCTAGGGACCTAGTTTCTGAGTCACAGCTTGGAAACAGTTGTGATCCCGTCCCCATAACCCTACATAAAATTACTGGGCATGAAAAATCTAATACAGATATGCTACAAGGATTGGCCTTTGGGTCTGGCATATTCCCTTGGATCTCATTTAGAGAACATTTTACCATGATTGCTTAGGTATCCAGGTGAGCGATACAGGCCCTATGGGCCTCTTGTCATTTGCATAATTTCAAATGTTTAATGTACATTATGTATTTTGCTTGATTTTTATTTAAATCTCTGTAGTCTGAAAAGTGCCAAATTTAATTAAAATTATTAATACATTATTAGGATTGACCTTTTAAAAAAGACAAACATTGATATCTTCATTTTGTTTTAAATCAATTTTTTCTTGAATTTGGCATTAAATCTGCAATTTGCATTACCAGCAGTGTTTTTTGCATTAACTACCTTATTTTACTGACTCGCACGCTCTGTGTTATGTATACTTTTGTTTTGATCCTTCCAGACTTATAATACAGCTGTCAATATATGGCCGGGGTACCTTTCATGTTATTGTTATTGATCATGACCTCACTGTGATATTATTGATGTTGATGAGAGCTGTAATAAAGTGTATTCCATTGCTACAGTGGTGTCCTTGTACAGTGTCTATATTATATTACACGTGGGACAGCTGGGTGATCATGATGTAGCTCTGAAGATGCCACAAAGGAAAGATGAGCAATATGGCAAATCATCATGGCGATACACACATTTTAAATGTGGGAAATAGTAGTTAACGGTAGTATTAAGGGATTGATCCTTGGTACAGAAGAAGGGATTTAAATCAAATCATTTTTTTCTGTAACATTAAAAATGGGGAGAGTGGGTATGTCCAATAAGGGAAGCAGAGGTTAATTGTTAAGAATATTCCTTTTATACCTTTTTTACCGAGTTTTAACAAACAAACAAAAATAATCTGATGCAAATTATCTTATGTGGGGAGGAGATACATTTGAATCAAAGATGTTCGTCTTCGCCTTTGATTTGCTTTGGTACAATTCCTCTACCTCTTCCTTTTTATTTAAAACATTTAAAACTTTTAAAATTTAAATTCATTTAAAATGTCAGAAGTTCCTCTCACGGTCCTGAACGAGTGTTGTACTTGTCAGGTCTCCTTGGCCTTTTTTTTAACCGATTGTCTACTTAAGACACGAGAAGAAACATGAGAGCGATATAGGATTCATGGGCCTTTTGTTTGATATCTGTTTTAAACAGAAGTTTATAATTTAAAAAAAAGTTTTATTTGTCTTCATTGGTCTGCTTTGATGATAGAGAATATAAGACATATATGATCTTACATGAGTTTCCATTTCATATGAGATTTATGAAACGAGTCTAAAAAATATCAATTTAGCGAGCTAAAGTGAAAAATTCGTGACTAGTTTCATAAACTTCATATGAAATTGATGTCACCTCTCTAGCACTTAAATGTCACTCGTTGATGTGTCCTCTCTAGCACTTAAATGTCGATCGTTGGTGTCACCTCTCTAGCACTTAAATGTCGCTCGTTGGTGTCACCTCTCTAGCACTTAAATGTCGCTCGTTGGTGTCACCTCTCTAGCACTTAAATGTCGCTCGTTGGTGTCACCTCTCTAGCACTTAAATGTCGCTCGTTGGTGTCACCTCTCTAGCACTTAAATGTCGCTCGTTGGTGTCACCTCTCTAGCACTTAAATGTCGCTCGTTGGTGTCACCTCTCTAGCACTTAAATGTCGCTCGTTGGTGTCACCTCTCTAGCACTTAAATGTCGCTCGTTGGTGTCACCTCTCTAGCACTTACGTGTCGCTCGTTGGTGTCACCTCTCTAGCACTTACAAGTCGCTCGTTGGTGTCACCTCTCTAGCACTTAAATGTCGCTCGTTGGTGTCACCTCTCTAGCACTTAAATTTTGCTCGTTGATGTCTCCTCTCTAGCACTTAAATGTCGCACGTTGATGTTACCTCTCTAGCGCTTTAATGTCGCTCGTTTGTGTCACCTCTCTAGCAGTTAAATGTCGCTCGTTTGTGTCACCTCTCTAGCACTTAAATGTCGCTCGTTGGTGTCACCTCTCTAGCACTTAAATGTCGCTCGTTGATGTCTCCTCTCAAGCACTTAAATGTCGCTCGTTGATGTCTCCTCTCTAGCACTTACATGTCGCTCGTTGATGTCTCCTCTCTAGCACTTACATGTCGCTCGTTGGTGTCACCTCTCTAGCACTTATATGTCGCTCGTTGATGTCTCCTCTCTAGCACTTACATGTCGCTCGTTGATGTCTCCTCTCTAGCACTTACATGTCGCTCGTTGATGTCACCTCTCTAGCGCTTTAATGTCGTTCGATGGTGTTGCCTCTCTAGCACTTGAATGTCGCTAATCGATGTCACCTTTCTAGGCCCTAAATATTGCTCGTTGATGTCTCATCTCTAGCACTTTAATGTCGCTCCTTGATGTGTCCTCTCTAGCACTTTGTCGCTCATCGGTGTCACCTCTCTAGCACTTTCATGGTGCTCGTTGCTGTCACCTCTCTAACGCTTTAATATCGCTCGTTGGTGTCACCTCTTTAGCACTTAAATGTTGCTAGTTGGTGTCACCTCTCTAGCACTTACTTGTCGCTCGTTGATGTCACCACTCTAGCGCTTTCGTGTCAATCATTGATGTCACCTCTCAAGCGCTTTCGTGTTGCTGATTGATGTCAACTCTCTAGCACTTTAATGTCGCTCGTTGGTTTCACCTCTCAAGCACTTAAATGTCGCTCGTTGGTGTCACCTCTCTAGCACTTACATGTCGCTCGTTGGTATCAGTGCTAGAGAGTTGACATCAATCAGCAACACGAAAGCGCTTGAGAGGTGACATCAATGAGCGACACGAAAGCGCTAGAGAGTTGACATCAACGAGCGATATTAAAGCGCTAGAGAGGTGACATCAGTGAGCAACATGAAAGCGCTAGAGTGGTGACACCGATGAGCGACATGAAAGTGCTAAAGAGGAGACACCAACGAGCGATATTAAAGCGCTAGAGTGGTGACATCAACGAGCGACATGAAAGCGCTAGAGTGGTGACAACGATGAGCGACATGAAAGTGCTAAAGAGGACACACCAACAAGCGACACGAAAGTGCTAAAGAGGAGACACCAACGAGCGACATTAAAGTGCTAGAGAGGAGACACCAACGAGCGACATGAAAGCGCTAGAGTGGTGACACCAACAAGCGACACGAAAGTGCTAAAGAGGAGACACCAACGAGCGACATTAAAGCGCTAGAGAGGTGACATCAGTGAGCAACATGAAAGCGCTAGAGTGGTGACACCGATGAGCGACATGAACGTGCTAAAGAGGAGACACCAACGAGCGATATTAAAGCGCTAGAGTGGTGACATCAACGAGCGACATGAAAGTGCTAAAGAGGTGACATCGATGAGCGACATGAAAGCGCTAGAGAGGTGACATCGATGAGCGACATGAAAGCGCTAGAGAGGTGACATCAACGAGCGACATAAAAGTGCTAGAGAGTTGACATCAATGAGCAACACGAAAGCGCTTGAGAGGTGACATCAATGAGCGACACGAAAGCGCTTAAGAGGTGACATCAACGAGCGATAGTAAAGCGCTAGAGAGGTGACTACAACGAGCGACATTAAAGCGTCAGAGAGGAGACATCAACGAGCGACATTAAAGCGCTAGAGAGATGACACCAACGAGTGACATTAAAGCGCTAGAGAGATGATATCGATGAGCGACATGAAAGCGCTAGAGAGGTGACACCAACGAGCGACATTTAAGTGCTAGAGAGGTGACATCAATGAGCGACATTTAAGCGCTAGAGGGTGACACCAACGAGCGACATTTAAGTGCTAAAGAGGTGACACCAACGAGCGATATTTAAATGCTAGAGAGATGACACCAACGAGCGACATTTAAGTGCTAGAGAGGTGACATCAACGAGAGACATTTAAGTGCTAGAGAAGTGACACCAACGAGCGACATTTAAGTGCTAAAGAGGTGACACCAACGAGCGACATGAAAGCGCTAGAGAGGTGAAATCATTGAGCGACATATGAACGGATATCGGTTACATAATATTTCATGACAGAAACATAAAATGACATTTTAGAAATTGGTACATACATAAATACTGGACTCACAAAAACTCATGAAAATATATTTTTAATAGTTTCTCATTGTTATACAATGAACCGTTCGGTAAATTTAATCACATCCTGTCCTCGTATGGGTACAGACAATTCACGAGGACTATTTAAACTCGTATAACAGTAATTGGAACATGGACTTCAATACATTATCAGCTAAAAGTGAGAGGAATACATTATGTTTTTGTTTCCGTTATACATCTGAAGCAAATGAAAATTCCACTTTCAGAGTTGTCCTTTACGCTCACTCTGAGAAAAAACTAAAACTTTGATGACTTCAATAAATATAATGCTTGCATTCACTGATTCAGTGATTAGAAACAATTAAACAGATCTATGTAACTTGTTTGTAAAAGTCATATTACATTCCATCCATATTGCTGCATCTGTCATATTTCACAGAAATATTGTTTCTTGACAGAAATTGTGTATCACTGAAAACTGTTCTGTCTCATCGGAAAGTTTTCCAGAATGACACTGCGTCTCCGTCCGATATCGTACATGGAATTGAATCCTCTGCTGTACGTCGCAACCGGAAAGTTAACCCTCTCACCCCTATGTAACTTTAGTAAACACTTCCAGGCTTTGATCTGGTTGGGTCCATTATGGTCTTCAGTGATGAAAGTGTTAGGTTAAACCACGAAATGTGAAGGGGCAGTCTCAGCCATTACAACACTTTTTTGGGCGAGGCATAGAATTGTCTGTAGGCGCCACCTGTATTGTTTGTACATTGCTACTGGGCGAGTTATCGTCGTCGTTACTGTCCCGTATCTGTTTCATAGATACTATTTTGTAAATCTCTGTCAAAGTAAAAAGAAGAAAGAACATATTAATGTCATAAATACCATCATTTCTACATGTATGTACTTTTGTTTATATATGTAATCTGTGATATTTTTGCTAAAGCATTCAGTTCATATATACAAAAAAGTAGAAGAGATATAAAACAATCATAATAACACAATTTCCTAAGAAATATTTTAGATATTTGCTATGGATTTTTTTTTTTTATATCAGCTGTGAAACTTTTCTCAAAACCTTAAATATACAAAGCACACAAGTATACGACTTTTATTTACAACGTATTACAATTGAGGTGTTGGAACACAGCATCACTTGTCATTTAAAAAAAAATACAAAGCTTAAAAAGGTATATTTTGACATTAAAAGGAAATAAGTACAAAACGGGTGAAAATCGAAATACCTGTTAATATATTTTGAAATGCTGTTTCCACATTGGTAGAATCCAGGGCTGATGTTTCTATGAAAGACATGTTATTCTTCTCTGCAAGTGAAACAAAACAGTTGAAACAATATAATATAATATTGACAGATGAACTAGCAATCAGGTTGACATCAGGTCCATCATTGGGGGTGTCATTTTTGCCGACAGTCGATCTAAACCCCTAAAACATGTAAAATTACTCTAAACACTGTAGTTAAGGTCCAAATATAGCTGTAACCAATTATCAGGTCCCTGTGATAAATACCAGCTCAATAGCGTCGGAATAAAGGTTTAACTTTATTTTTTCATGCTTATTGAAAACAAGAATTATTTATAATGCAGAATAATCATAGTCCAATTCCCAATGGACCAACGGCGAATTAGCCTAATTTCAACTACAACGTAAGGAACACAGTTTCAAAGTTTCATTTCTGACAATTAAATTTAATTGGCCATTACCTGCAAAGGCCTTGGCCTCGTCTGTAGGCACAGCTCGTAGATGACGTAAGTCACTCTTGTTGCCCACCAGCATGATGACAATGTTATTATCAGCATGGTCCCGCAGTTCCTTCAGCCAACGCTCCACATTCTCAAATGTCTGGCGGTGGGCTATATCATAGACTAGTAACGCGCCAACAGCTCCTCGATAGTACCTGTAAATAGGAAAGTATTCCTTAGCGATGACAATGAGGAATATGCCAAAAAAGGTAACAGCCCCAGGTAATTGGTATGAGTTTAGGCTTTGCAATTCTATACTGGGATATCTTCGAAATGCACAGCCCGTTTGTATTAAATGATAAATAATATGGGATTATGTTATTCATATTGCAGTAACACCTTCAAAAGCAGTTGATGGTTTCACCCATGTCCATGAATCGCTGGTACCAATGTCTACTTGTATCTCTCCCATGCTGACAGGTAGGTGTGAAAATCATGTTATTAGAAGAGCGAATTTGTGTCCCAGCGGACAACTACAAAATGATGGTTGTCTCGAAAAATATGGTTCTGTACACAAGCATCTAATACAGACGCATGCGAATTGTACAGGGTTTGGTTACAACCTTATAAGCCTTACTTACGCGCTAGTGATGGCTCGAAATCGCTCTTGACCAGCTGTGTCCCAGATCTGTGCTTTCATCGTCTTTCCGTCCACGTGTGTATTTCTGCAATTAGAAGAAAATTTCGTTTTAAATAGTTGTATTTCCGGGATAGTGTAGTTCATAATAATAAATATAATATATAACGTCTAGATATCTATATAAACCTTGTAGTGTTGTATATAATATGAAATAAAATATGTCACTTCTAGATATATACAGGGTAGTGTTATATATGATAATAAATATAATATATAACTTCAAGATATATACATGGTAGTGTTATATATAACAATATAATATATAACGTCTACATATATACGTGGTAGTGTTATATATAATGATAAATATAATATATAACGTCTTAATTTAAACGTGGTAGTGTAAAACAATAATAAATATAATATATAACGTCTAGATATATACGTGGTAGCGTTATATATAATAATAAATATAAGGTTATATACATGGAAGTGTTATATATAATAATAAATATAATATATAACGTCTAGGTATATACATGGTAGTGTTATATATAATAATAAATATAATATATAACTTCAAGATATAGATATATACGTGGTAGTGTTATATATAATGATAAATATAATATATAACGTTTTTATTTATACGTGGTAGTGTAAAACATAATAATAGATATAATATATAACGTCTATATATATCCATGGTAGTGTTATATATAACAATAAATATAATATATAACGTCTACATATATACGTGGTAGTGTTATATATAATGATAAATATAAGATATAACTTCAAGATATATATATGTGGTAGTGTTGTATATAATAATAAATATAATATAAAACGTCTAGATATATACGTGGTAGTGTTATATATAATGATAAATATAATATATAACGTCTTTATTTAAACGTGGTAGTGTAAAACATAATAAAAGATATAATATATAACGTCTAGATATCTACATGGTAGTGTTATGTATCATAATAAATATAATATATAACGTCTAGATATCTACATGGTAGTGTTATGTAACATAATAAATATAATACAAAACGTCTAGATATATACGTGGTAGTGTAAAACATAATAAAAGATATAATATATAACGTCTACATATATACGTGGTAGTGTTATATATAATGATAAATATAAGATAAAACTTCAAGATATATACATGGTAGTGTTATGCATCATAATAAATATAATATATAACTTTAAGATATATATATGTGGTAGTGTTGTATATAATAATAAATATAATATAAAACGTCTAGATATATACGTGGTAGTGTTATATATAATGATAAATATAATATATAACGCCTTTATTTAAACGTGGTAGTGTAAAACATAATAAAAGATATAATATATAACGTCTAGATATATACATGGTAGTGTTATGTATCATAATAAATATAATATATAACGTCTAGTTAGCATACATAGTAAAGCTATACATAATGATAAATAGTATAAAGCATATACCTTCTATAAATATACGTGTGAATATTAACTTGTAAATAGTAATAAATGTAACATAAAAGTTGCGATAAGTATCCTTTACCTTGTAGCAACCTCCACGCCAATTGTATTTTTACTATCTAAGTTGAACACGTTCCTAGTCAATCTGGACAAAAGGTTACTTTTCCCTACGCCGGAGTCTCCCATAAGTACCACTGAAAAACATAAACATTCATTGTTACAAACATTACAATCACTGTAGTACTGGCAGAGACTTATACTAGGCAAGGACCGGCTCTTCATATATCATTTTACTCGATCAGTGATTATATAAACCTGATAAGTATTAGGAAAAATCCAAGATTGTTAATTACCGTGGTGATGAATACCAATCCAGAAGATAACCATACTTCATACAATAATGACCCTCGTATTAATTCTCATTGAAATGACGTCATGTCTTTTTGTATCCTTTCCTCAAGATTTCTGAGATTTGTTAAGTATTTTTTTTCTTTCTGTGAATATAACAATTTCATTGATATGCTGGTATCCTTTTATACTACATACCTTTACATAGATAGTCAAAACCATCGTCCATGTACGTGCGGTCCTTACTAAAGCGAGACTTGTGACCACAGGCTGTGCAGCTATAGCTCTTACCAGACATCATAGGCTGACGAAATGTTCTTTCAAGATGTTAAAATGCTATATATAAATACACGAAGTTAAATATTAAATGTTTTAGGGATTTTTTAAGAACATTACTATTAATTTACAATATGACTCGAAATATCTCGAGGCTTGGTAAAGTCATAAAGCAGTTCATCAAATTAGTAGTAGGAATTTAAGCTACAGGTGTGTATCTGTCCTCTTTACAGCGTGCGATTGTAAGTGAAGTCCCAGAGTCCTTGTTTTATAGCGTTTAGTTACTCCCGGTGACCATTATATTTATAAATAAGCACACAGTAATATCAAACTCTCGTTCCGGTCATGTCATCGTTTGTTGATAAACACAGAATGACTCATTTCAATTTTATCACAGGTTAAAAATAGATATTACTTATAGTGGCTATAAGTTTTAATATAGGTAGCCGAAGAGGCGTAACAAACAATCGAATATTTGAAAAAAGGGCATAGTATATAATAAATAGACGAAATGAAAAGTACACAAACTTTCATAAGTTAAAATAAACGGACGTAGGATAGTATTGCCAGTCACACACATTGATGTGACACAAACGGACATTAATTTTGTAAACACTTTGTAAAATAACATGTTGATTTTAAAGTTACCTGTTTATATTTGCGGCTTCCTGTTATGCAAAACCGTCTGTCCGTTTAAGAAAAATTGCCAGTTCATTTTTACCCGCTTTACTTTTTGTTCTGCTCTGTTCTAAAACTCTCTGTTTTGTTTTGTGTGTGGATCTGTTTTATTTTTGTTTGTTGATTATGAAATACGTCCAATACAAAACAGCCTGTTTGTTAGTTTGGTGTTTGTTTGACAAGGAAATCTACCCCTTCGGCTGCCCCTAGCTACGTAGATACATCAACACGTACGTCCATGTATATCCACAGATATACAAACAGTTTTGAATAGGGACCTTGAAACTTTAAATAAATGGGCTAACACTTGGCTTCTTACTTTCAATCCAAATAAGACGGAAATTATTTTCATATCAAATTCAAATGATATAGATGAAGATCTTGAACTGATTTTTGTTGGAAATATTTTGAATTTTAACAGTATGCATAGGCACCTTGGAGTTACATTCAATTCAGATGCAAAATGGTCAGATCATGTAAAGTGAAATCGATAAATCGGTAATGAAAAAAAAAATTATTTTGCAAAAACTCAAATATATGTTGAAGCGGGATGCTCTCTTAAGAATTTATAAAACTTATATATTACCAGTTTTAGAATATGCATGTGAGGTTTGGGATGGTTGTACTCTGGTCGATTCTGACAAGAATGAACGTGAAGTAGCTAGAATAATTATAGGTTTACCGTCATATGCTAGAAATGAATCATTATATACAGAAACAGGTCTTGAATTCCTTTCGGATAAAAGAAGAAGACGAAAACTTCAGTTAATCTACAAAATGGATAGGCATCAAACCCCGAACTACTTAACAAATCTACTTCTCTACTACTAGTTTATCGTTCTTGCCTTCTTCATTAAAAATGTGGAATACTGTAGACTATAATATTAGATCCACGTCTTTCTCATCTGTCAAATCAGCTCTAGTCCCCAACATACCATATACAGGACCCCCTCATTACCTACGTGGTGACAGAAAACTAAACATTCTTCATACCAGACTATGTCACGAATGCAGTCCTCTCAAACATGATCTTTACCGTACAAACTTGGTCCAAGACTCCAATTGTATAAATTGTGGCTACCATTGCGACAATGCCTATCACTTCTTCTTTGAATGCCAACCTTATACAAATGCTCGCACTGTACTTTTTGATCATATAAATAATTTAAATGTACATTTTAACGTTGAGATTATTACTGTTTGAAATGAAAATCTGGCTTTGTATACAAATTGTGATGCATTCAAACAAGTGCAAACTTTTATTAGATCCAGTGGAAGGTTTTAACATGTTTCGATTATGAACTTGACCTTAATTTTTTATTTGTATGTGTTACTTTAAAAATCGATTCATACTACTATGAATTGTAATTGACAGTCTATATAATCATCTGTTGTTTTGAATTATTGTTGTTAGGAGATGGCTTCATAAGTTGTTATAACTTGTGCTAAATCCTATTTTCCAATTCTGGTTAATAAAATATGTTTAAAGTCAGTTTAATTGACCAAATAACGTCGACTCGTCAACCACGGAGAGACGTTGTTTTCTCGCGCGGGAGTAAATTGAATGTCAGTTTTGCCAATTTTAAACAAAAAGTTTATCGACGTAAAGTTGAATGATACTCCCGAGTTAACGCTCACTTTCGCTCTCTGCACCCCTTGAATATGTCATAGCAAAATTGAAGGTACTTGATTGGTCTCGGGTAAAGAAACCTGACCTATCGCTAGGCTGATACCTGTCCTTTAAAGATTACAAAGGATTGAAAAAGTCAGTCTATTGTACCGTTATGCGACCGCGAGATTCTTCTAATGTACACCAAAGGCACAAGGTGGTGCACACTTAACCTTCAATTCTGCCACAACATATTCCAGGGGTGCAGAGAGCGTTAGTTAGGGTAACCCCTGGAGAATCGAGGATGGTATTGGGCGAATCAACACAGATGATAGACACCTCTTTACGGTAGATGGGGTCGTGTGAATACTGACTACAGGGACACCGTCCTTGCTGCAATCGACGAACCGTTTCTCATGAACAACGGGCTTTTCACAATGATAACGCTGGACCACACACTGATCGAATATAATAAGATTTTGATAAAAGTCGTTGCTGTGACCGTGTCTTAGTCCAGATTTGAGCCCTATTTAACATCTGTGTGGTGAACGTCGTAATAGCGCCACAGTAAGAATGGCAACGTATACCTCAAAACGTCATTCGGCGTTTGATCATATTGACGCAGAGGTGATGACTGTGATCAGTGCTCTTACTACAAATTGAGCAAGACGGTGAAATGATGTTTATAGTGTCGTAACATTGCATTTTACCAGATTATATATATATATATATCAACAGAATTTGACCCGTTCGTGTGAGTTTTTCCATATCTGATATCGATAATAATCACAAACAGTTCCTTTTACTTTCAGTTGAAACATTTCGTTACACATTGCTATTTGTTAGGAATTTAAGATGTTGTATACACTTTGTATAGTGTATACATTGTGACATGCAGTGTCCTAAGCCTATATATCACATTGTTCCACAGCAGACCTAATAAGTGACTACCTATGAAGGCTGTGTTTAATAGTCTTGAAATGAAATATCAATACAACGACTTAACAGACCCTATGACTTTCAGGGCCTTCGATGGAATCGGGTGAAAATCATATTCGTAAAGTTCGCAAGTTGTTCTGATCTGTTAGTTTTGATTTTTAAGTGGCTTTTTATTACGGACCAAGAGACCAAATATTTCGGCTGGTCTTGCAAAACAAAAGCAAGTTGAGAATAGGTATTACATTTCAGTAATTTTATCCTGGGCAGAAAAAGAAACACATTCTTCGAGTGATGCAGAAATACTAATAGTAGATTATTTAAAATTTCATCAAAACACCTTCAATTTAAAATTTCATCAAAACACCTTCAATTTAAAATTTCATCAAAACACCTTCAATTTAAAATTTCCACCTATACAAGATTTCACATAAAATTTGCACTGATTTGAAATTTTACCAAGGGAAGGTCAATTCGGGAATTTCAGACGTTTGTGAAACAGAAATACTTCAGGTTGCATCCAGATGTCTAGACAGTTTAAGAGTAACCGTAAATTGACCGAACATATTTATTATTTGAACTTGATGTTAAGGTCTCTGTGACCCTAATACAGTGCAAAATAAACGCCATGTGGGTGATTCTAATATATAACTGAGCAATGGTTTACAGGGTGGCCACGGTGGCCAAGTGGTTAGGGCGTCTGATATTCAGTTACCACAAGCCCTCCACCACTGGGTCGCGGGTTCGAGACCTACGTAGGGCAGTCGCCAGGTACTGGCCGTAGGTCGGTGGTTTTTCTCCGGACACTCCGGCTTTCCTCCACCACCATAGCTGTTAAGGATCCCCGTCCTAGCCAGAGCAAAACACTAAAGAATTCCGACATGCAAGCCCAAAGTAAAGTCGGCCGTTTTAAATGTAAACTTGACGCATTTACTTACAGTAGTAACAACAACGATATTCAATACCAACTGCTAGACCACGACTATGCGACGAAACAAAGTGACACTAGATCACACATTGAACAGACGCCGACTACCGAGGCCCCTACTACTGACAATTTTACTGATGAGCTGACACCGACGTCCGATGAGGATCCATCCAGCACTAGTGATCACGAATACGCCAAAAACTGTTTTAACCTGGTCGCAGGGTAGACGAGTGGTTGAACTCGCGGTGTTATCTGAATACCTGGACCAGAAAGGTTGTAAGGAATGCGGTACTAGGCTACGGTTATGCAATACCCAACAGGAAAGACATTTTGGCCTGGGAAGTATTTTATACATACAAGATCACAATAGTCAGGATTATATTATATATTTGTTATTACATGTATATGCCCAATAGGCCTATATTTCAAGTTCATTTTTTATATTACTAACAACAGTATTATTTTCACAATGCGATATCTTTATACCACAATATCCTATGTTGTTATTTGTACATAATGTAAAAGTTTATAATTGTTGTATATAGTATGATTTTTTATATCACAACATAGTATGTATATCCCACGCGAAGCCATAAATTGGCATTTTTTAGCTTGGGTCGTACAAAGGGGACTAACTCTTATTAGAAATGTATTATTGTTGTGTAAAGTATGTGGAACTTTGTTATTGTTGTTCATTGTGACATTTTTGCTATGACACCGTAAAGTACATTGTTTGTTATAATGTTATTCATACACAATGTGCAATTTGTTTTATATTGGTTATTACATTTGAAGTAATTTTAATGGTTGGTAATGCCTACTGTATTATATTCGTATTTAAAAAGGGCTATATTGTATGTTGTAAATTGTATATATGACTTTTTGTGATTTAGAATTATTATTGGGTACAAATGTAAGAGTTGTCTCTCTTTTTTTGTTCAGTTTTTTTGTATCTTTGTAATTTTTTGTATAAAGTCCGCAGGATATTAATTTTTTGTCATCTATATTTTCTTTTTGTTGTCCTAAACGTGTTGCATTGGCACTCGGCATTTTATTGATTCATGTAATGGGCATTTTTGTATGTTTTAGTATTATTGTTAGAAAATTACTAAAAAAAAATGTTCATCAATATTGACATTGTTATTATTTTTTATGTGTAATATTTCTAATAAACCATTGTTGCATCAAATATAATGTATTTTGTTCAATTGGAAAATTAAATTGAAAAACAATTGAAATGTCATAATTTCCCAAAAAATCTGAAGAAACACCACAAGGTATGGGTTATTGTTCAGAAATGATTTGGTTACGCAATAGCGTTGCCGTAGAAAAACAAGAGGTCCATGGGCCTTAACGGTCACCTGATATATTTATACAGAGAGTTGATTTTGTTTTTTACAAGAACAGAAATATTATTCAAAGTGACAAACAAGAGGCCCAAGGGCCTTAACGGTCACCTGAGTCCTAAAGTATTTATTTTGTTGTTGAAATATGTACTCATTTGAGTAAAAAAAATATTCAGTATAACGTTAACTTAAGTTTGTCAGGACCATGAGCTGATCATTCCTAGACCGATTTTCAGTTAGATCGGCCTATTAGAACTTGTTTTTAAGTTTGAAATAGGCATTTTAAAAATAGCAGCCATGGCAGCCAAATTGTATTTCTGATCGACCCGAAAAATAACAAAACTTTGTCAGGACCATGAGTCGATCATTCCTACCAAGTTTCAGTTCAATCAGCCTAGCAGAACTTGACTTTAAGTTTAAAATAGTTTTTCAAAATGGCGGCAGTGGCGGCCATATTGGATTTCTGACTGACCCGAAAAATAACAACTCTTTGTCAGGACCATGAGTCGATCATTCCTACCAAGTTTCAGTTCAATCGGCCCAGCAGAACTTGACTTTAAGTTTGAAATAGTTTTTCAAAATGGCGGCAGTGGCGGCCATATTGGATTTCTGACTGACCCGAAAAATAACAACTCTTTGTCAGGACCATGAGTCGATCATTCCTACCAAGTTTCAGTTCAATCGGCCCAGCAGAACTTGACTTTAAGTTTGAAATAGTTTTTCAAAATGGCGGCCGTGGCGACCATATTGGATTTCTGATCGACCCGAAAAATAACAACACTTGGTCAGGGAGATGTCAGTAACCTTCCCATGAAATATTAATGAAATCCCTTTGCCAGTATTTCAGCTTAAGTTGAAAATGTAAAATGTTAACAGCACGCATGACGACGGACGAAGACCATAGCTAAAGCTCAGGTGACCTAAAAACATGACTGAAAAGGATTTGAAACTAGATTCTAAACAAGGGAAATGAAGAAACTTTAGCACACTGACTCCTTTGGGCCCCACCCTACAGTCCTTGGGGGTAGGGCTGGTGCAAAAATGTTCAAAGTATCAAACTGTCAAATCAGGGTTATAATTCCTATCAAGTTATTCAAATGTAATATTCAAAGTATCATTTGCCATTATAAACCATAATAAACGTTGGTCCAAAATGTGATTTCCTTATATAAACTTTAGTAAAGTTTACCCCCTCCCAGGAGGAAATGTGAGACCCTAGGGTCAAGAAATTCACAATTTTGGTAAAGCACCTTAAGACCCTTCCATCTATGAAGAGTATTTGATTCTACCATATCTGGGTCTTGAGAAGAAGTTTTTTGAAATTTTAGTCAATTTGACCCTTTTTGGCCCTGCCCCTCAGGCCCCTGGGGGCTGGGGACCAACTCAGCCACTATTTTTGTTGACCTTTGGCCATCGAAGGTTTCTGCAAAATTTCATTGAAATTGGTTCAGGGGTTTTAGAGAAGAAGTCGAAAATGTAAATTGTTTACGGACGCACGATTTGACACCGGACAAAAGGCGATCGCAATAGGTCACTAGAGACTCAGGTGATCTAAACAAGAGGCCCATAGGGCCTGTATCGCTCACCTTGATATCTAAGCAATCATGGCAGAATATTCTCCAAATGAGATCCAAGGGAATATGCCAGACCCCAAGGCCAATCCTTGTAGCATATATATCTGTATTCAATTTTTCATGCCCAGCAATTTTATGTATGGTTATGGGGTGGGGATCTCAACTGTTTCCAAGCTGTGACGCAGAAACTAGGTCCCTACGGTTGTGGCCAGACCCCAGGATCAATTCTAATATCATGACTGCATTTGTCTCTTTTTGCCCAGCATTTGTATATATAGTTTTGGGGTGGGGATTTCAACCGTTTCAAAGTTATGACCCAGGGGTTAAGTCTGCAAGGGTGGGGCAAACCCTGGGGTCAATTCTAATATCATGACTGCATTTGTCTCTTTATGCCCAACAATTGTATATATAGTTTTGGGGTGGGGATCTTAACCATTTCAAAGTTATGACCCAGGGGTTAAGTCTCCAAGGGTGGGGCAGTCCCCAAGGCCATCCTGGAAGCATATGTGCATTCATCTCTTTGTAATCGGCAATTGTCTATATGGTTATAGGGTGGGGATCTCAACTGTTTCCAAGCTGTGACTAAGAAACTAGGTCCCTAGGGGTTCGGTCAGACCCCAGGGTCTATTCTAATATTGTGACTGCATTCGTCTCTTTATGCCCAGCATTTGTATATATAGTTTTTGAGTGGGGATCTCAGCCGTTTTAAAGTTATGGCCCAAGGACTATGTTTCCAAGGGTGGGGCCAGACCCTAGGGCCATCCTGGAAGCAAATGTGCATTCTTCTCTTTATACTCAGCAATTGTATATGTGGTTATATGGTGGGGATCTCAACCATTTCCAGGCAATAAACTTTTTTTGGTCCCACCCCTTAGCCCGGGGGGTCAGCCCCACCATTTGTACAATTTTGAATCCCTGCATCCCATGAATGCTTTTGATTAAATATGATTGATATCCAGTGCATAGTTCTACAGAAGAAGTCGTTTATAGCAATCAAGCCAAATTGCCCCCTTTTTGGCCCCGCCCCTCAGCCCCCTGGGGGGTCAGCCCAACCATTTGTACAATTTTGAATCTCCACCACCTAGGGATGCTTCCAGTCAAATATGGTTGATATCCATCTCTTAGTTCCAGAGAAGAAGTCGCTTAAAGCAATATAGCCAAATTGCCCCCTTTTTGCCCTACCCCTCAGCCCCCTGGGGGGTCAGCCTCACCATTTGTACAATTTTGATTCCCCACCACCTAAGGATGCTTCCAGTCAAATTTAGTAAAATTCCAATCAGTGGTTAGGAAGAAGAAGTCGTTTAAAGAAACTGTTGACGGACGGACGCCGGCCGGCCGCCGGACGGACGGACGACGGACGCCACGGTATGGCATAAGCTCACCTTGGTCCTTCGGACCAGGTGAGCTAAAAATCAATGCCTCATTACATTTTTAGGCGGAGGGATGGGGATCCTTAATAGGACGTAATACCAAACCAAACCCATGGTTTCAAAGACTGGACAATATTTCACTGAAAATGTTGCACGTATTTGAGATTATAATCTGTATTAATCTGTCATCAGGGCTATTCCAGGACAGATTTCATATGTTAATGCATCGATTTTACTGTAACATACATATTTCAGTGTTATTCTTAATTTAGTGCTTTTGGGGTTTAAAATATTGCACAAAATAATGACAGCAATTTCTGTATATTGTTTCTATTGCATATATAGTCACCCACTAAGTGGGTGCATCAACTCATACATGTAGAGACTTGATACAATTTGATAATGCACAAAAATTTGTGAGGGCTAAAATTAAATAAGTACATTATAGTGAGGTCTCCAAAAAAATTGTCTCACACAAATAGTTCTGGAATAGCTGTCTCTACACAAATAGTTCTGGAATAGCCGCAACTGTGTCTACACAAATAGTTCTGGAATTGCCGTAACTGTGTCTACACAAATAGTTCTGGAATAGCCGTAACTGTCTCTACACAAATAATTTTGGAATAGCCGTAACTGTCTCTACACAAATAGTTCTGGAATAGCCGTAACTGTCTCTACACAAATAGTTCTGGAATAGCCGTAACTGACTCTACACAAATAGTTCTGGAATAGCCGTAATTGTCTCTACACAAATAGTTCTGGAATAGCCGTAGTCGTCTCGACACAAATAGTTCTGGAATAGCTGTGTCTACACAAATAGTTCTTGATTAGCCGTAACTGTCTCGACAAAAATAGTTCTGGAATAGCCGTAACTGTCTCTACACAAATAGTTCTGGAATAGCTGTGAAGCTGGAGACCGACGAGTCCTTGAATGAAAATGTAACATAACCAAAAACTATGGTTTGTGAAAGAAAAACAAGCTGACTCGTGTATTAGCTGGTGATAAGATATACATTTGTACAAATTACATACATACAAGCATACAATCAGGACATCTTCTTCAAAGTTTATCAACATAATTCATAATCATAATAATGTTTCGTAGCTGTACATATAGATTAAACGTAGTCTCTGAGAAAAAGCAAGGGAAAACATAAAAACAATTTCTCGACGGAGGATGGTGTGAAGCCATATATAATCAGATAATGGTCCGACTTACAGGAAAACAACACAAGTCTAAGACTTGTACATTTGTCCAACCCCATTTCACAAGTGCAAAATCAATAAACAGAGTCTAATCTGGTTGTATACATGAATCACATATATTGGACAGAAGAATGTTTTTCAGAGTAAATTTACAAAACCTACTTAAACACATTTATACCCCAGTAGCTTCCATTTGATGCAAATCACAATAGTAATCCTCACAAAAATAGGAACAACAGAAAGACAACTCTGAAAAAAATTGATCCGAAAAATAGAGATCAGACTTAACTCATTCACCCCTGAAATGCCATAATGGACTATTCCAACCTTTCAATTGGACGAGTTCAAATGTGTCTTCAGGGGTGAATGAGTTAAAACGTTTATAACACATCTTTCCTGGTACATATCTACATAACTAGGAGATGAATGTTGATGGTGTAGAATGGCTTTATCATCACATTTGACACAAGAAATGTGTCTGATCACGTGTCTGAATCAATTGTGCTATTCTTCTGGCAAATAGATGTTTACGATTTCCCTGGTGTTGCTGCTACATGTAGGTAACACAACTTTATATACGAACTGCTGACGGTGAAACTACCACTTCTATGATTGTACAATGTTCTGGTGGTCAAGGCGTCATGACACAGGTTGTTTCATCTCTTTGTTATTTTACTACAAACCCTTGAAACATTGCCGTAAATCACTATTTCTAGGAATACTTATCATCATGCTCCAAGCAAAAAATCTCAAGGTTTAAACTCATGAAATTGACCAACACAATTTTATCTCGTTTCTTTTCAACTGTTTGTGAAATATTTCAACAAATGGCCTACTCTCCCCAGTTCACATGAAAATAATAAAAAAAAAGAGAGAAAAAACAAAAAAAGCCAACAAAACACTAATGATTAATGTTATGAACATGGCCACCTGTGCCGTTTTAAATTACACAACAAAGTCTTGTCTATGTGATGTTTTTCGCTCCGACACCATTTTTTTCTGCTTCTGTGACAAGTTTCACCTTTACAGAAGTGACAGCCAAAAATGAAGATGGTCTCTTATGCGATGGTCCCAAGAACCAAACCATTAAACTCCTTGCTAACAGGAATAGGCAACACATGTATAAACACTCTGAGGCAGTAAATTACACCTCTATACAAACTGATATTGACAGATGGACAGTGCGACATTACAAAAGTACAATCGACTTTCCAGCTGTGGTGAGCTGAAAACCTTGGTTAACCCATAATGGACTCATCCATATCAATGCATGGCAGAGTCTACTAAAGTTATACATAGGGGTGAAACTAATAAAAATTGTGCTATCAAGACAGAAACCTTCCACTTGTGAAATGTAATTAACCCTACAGTAGTTATACAAACTTTCACACTAGCACTTCTTGCGTCCACCACTATTATAATGGGAATAGTTCTTCCCACTACATTAAAAGGTAGTTACCACTGTACAGTAACGCCAGTGTTTTCCCGGGCTATTACAGCTACATGCACCAATCCAGTCAATAAGTAAATAAAGAGCTTCAAAACCATTGTGTATTATAGGTCTGTTCCTCTGGTAAATGGTTTGTAGAAAATGTATTTTGAGGAGTTTTCTATATAGACGGCGCGTCCACCAGTATCTAGCTTTTGGTCAGAGACATGTACCAGTTTGTATTTCTTGACTAGATGGCATTCTTCAATTATTGGGGAGAGCATTGAAATTTAAACAGTACTTTGTAAGTTTGCCCCATATGAAAAACTAGTCTTCAAAATTAACCATCATAATTAGGAAAGCAAGTTTCACATACAAAATAAAATCTTTTTGGGTAAAAAATGATACCTTTATTAAGAATGTTTAGAAAATTTTGGGATTACTGTGCAACACTAAGGTTGTAGCCTTATATGGCTTAATCCTGTTTATCTACAATAAGTTGCTGTACCATGGTCAGACACGATACACAACATACGGCATGGTACGAAGATGCGATCACAGTAGTTCTCAACGCATATGTATATATATATATTTGCTCCTCTCAGAATACTGGCAAATTTTCCTCGTTAAATTTCAGGACTACACAATCACTGATATTTTCCGAGGAAATTTTCCCAAAAAACTTGCACACACTTCCATTAAAGTAACAGAGAGATGCGTTTTGATCCTCTGACTTGTACAGAGCTCAACACGTCCCTCCCAAATGAATAAATAATGATATTTTCAGTTTCCTTTATACATGTACAGAAACTGAAAATTCAAATTTCATATTTCCTGTACACTCATACACAGAATAATTAAACACCTTGATGACTTCGTGAGGAAATATGATAACTATGTTGTCATCTGTCGTTCCGACGATCTTTTTGACCCCTCTATCACCTCTTCAGTAATTAAACTACTTGCCAAAACATTGATGTCATTTTTGTATATATATCCCTTTAAACATTTCATCCCTAACGCTGTATCTTTTCTGATATCACTTTAAAATAAAAAAATCCAAAATATTTCCTGTATCATTGGAAATTGATCCTATTTCATCGGAAACTTCTCCAGAAAGACACTGCGGCCCCTCCTTGGACTCTTCCAAATTCCCTCTGCTGTATTCAATTGGAAAGTTAAGTGAATGTTCGGTCCCCTACTTGTGGATGTAACCACGAATTAAGAGGGGCAGTCTCAGACATTACAACACTTTTGTGGGCGAGGCATAGAATTGTCTGTAGGCGCCACCTGTATTGTTTGTACATTGCTACTGGGCGAGTTATCGTCGTCGTTACTGTCCCGTATCTGTTTCATAGATACTATTTTGTAAATCTCTGTCAAAGTAAAAAGAAGAAAGAACATATTACTATCATAAATACTATAATTTCACCAGAAATGTTTCAAATAATTGCTACTGATTTTTTTTTATATTAGCTGTGAACTTTTGTCAAAACATTCAATATGCAAAATACATTTTGAACTATTTATGAAACTTTTGTACAACATATTACAATTGTACATATATATACAAGAGCTATTGTAAAACAACATAGTATTGTGGGCACAAGACCTAATTTAAGGACTTCCTACCCTTTCGTAATACACATGTGTTTCTTGTTATATTTTTGTGTCGTCATTTCCTTATTGCGTATCGGGCATTCCATTACCTTAGTGTAAATTACAGTAACACCGGGTAAACAATAGTACACGTGCGTGACAGTGATATGTCAACACCCGATATCAAGACTTCACTAGGAAATGTGTAATCACACGTACTTCAGAAATAAAGCTTATGATACAAAGATATTTTTTAACTCACAGGAATACACCGACACAAGATCAGACGACTTCAAGAAGGTGAAAATAGTGGTTTGTAAAATATCAAGATCCCTATAAAATGCAAGGGCATCTGCGTGCACTTGATAACGGCGGCATACCATGCGACAGCCTATGGTATACCATGCGTAAGCGGGCTATGGAATGATGTCCAAAGTGTACATGATTGAGAATAATTTCACTCTATAAAAGACCAGTAAATTGACAATTCAATATAGTAATTTAATTTATTTCCGTCATTTTTGGTATAGTAAAGAAAATAACTGTCATTGTATAAATTCCATCCCTCTGCAAAAAGTTTTTTTGATTATTTTTTTCAAGGTAGACAACTCTCATCAGGATCAAAATTATTGTAAAATGTAAAATAAATGAATTTTAAAGACTTTTTGTGTATCTGGTTCAATTTTTCACTCTTTTTGTATGAAAAAATGTTTTCTTTTAGCTTGTATATAGTAACTTTTATCCATACAATTAAAATAACAAGAGGCCCAGAGGGCCTGTATCGCTCACCTGGATACCTAAGCAATCATGGCAAACTATTCTCCAAATGAGATCAAGGGAATATGCCAGACACCAAGGCCAATCCTTGTAGCAAAGCTATATTAGATTTTTCATGCCCAGCAATTTTATGTATGGTTATGAGGTGGGGATCTCAACTGTTTCCAAGCTTTGACTAAGAAACTAGGTCCATAGGGGTTCAGTCAGACCCCAGGGTCTATTCTGATGTCATGACTGCATTTGTCTCTTTCTGCCAAGCATTTGTATATATAGTTTTGGGGTGGGGATCTCAACCGTTTCAAATTTATGACCCAGGGGCCAAGTCTGCAAGGGTGGGGCAGACCCTGGGATCAATTCTAATATCATGACTGCATTCGTCTCTTAATGCCCAACAATTGTATATATAGTTTTGGGGTGGGGATATTAACCATTTCAAAATTATGACCCAGGGGTTAAGTCTCCAAGGGTGGGGCAGTCCCCAAGGCCAACCTGGAAGCATATGTGCAATCATCTCTTTATACTCAGCAATTATATATATACGGTTATAGGGTGGGGCTCTCAACTGTTTCCAAGC